CAGGCTGTTTAAGGCCATGATCAGACCTGCCCCAGGCTTGTGTAACTCTACACATTCCTCTTAAGACCAAAGAGGAGCCAACAGAAACATTGACAAGAAACTGACAGGACTCTTCAGTGTGTCAGCTAGAACACGGCCAACAAGTGATCATTGCATTCTCTAGCTTTCTTTTTTGTCTCTCTTTTGAGATAGGTTCCCACAATGTAGCCCTGTCTGGCCTGGAACATGGAGGTCTGTCTACCTCTGCCTCTTGAGAGCTGGGATGTAAGGCATGGGGCACCAAGCCCAACTGGTCACTCTCTTTAAGAAGAAAATGTGTGTGTGTGTGTGTGTGTGTGTGTGTGTGTGTGTGTGTGTGTGTGGTGTGTGTGTATCTGTATGTGCACATGTGTGCAAGGACACATACAGAGGACAGAAGAGGCTGTCAGGTGTCTCCTCTATGATTCTCCACTTATTATTCTCTTGGAGCTTTTACTAGATTAGCAGCCAGCAACTCGCAGCAATCCTCCTGTCTCTGCCCCTCTGAGCTGCAGTTATAGGCATTTTCAGGGATACCCAGCTTGTTACATAGGTGCCAAGAACCTAAACTCCAGTCCCCATAATTCTGGATTAAGTATCTTAACCACTGAGCCATATCCTTAGCCTCTCCAACTCTTTCCTCAACCCTGAGCCAACCCCTAACGTTGTCATTGTCCATGGATTTCCACATCTTCAGATGCCCTCTCTCCAAGCACGATGATCCTGTTATTAATTAGCTCTTGACAAATAGCCAAGAGGCTACAGTGGCATACAGAAATGTCCATGTGTATCTTGCCCCCCTCTCTGCAGTGCTGTGCCTAAGAAGGTACCTTGCAGCTTACCTAGGATAGCTATGCTCCAAGCAGCTTTCATTTTTCTGGGCCAGTTGGGTACCAGAATGCTATTTTACTCATGGAAATGGCAAAACTGTGACAGGAGCAATCTGCTGCCCAAAGGCTTGCCAGCTTTCCCAAGTGCCTTGTTGTTAATTGCTCATTGGCCGAAGTAAATCACATGGCCCAGCTGGAGCTCAAGCTTAAATCACATGTGGGAGAATGCACCCTGCCCACCTGAGGCAGCGAGAGTGGCATGTGTCCTATGCTATCAAAGTGAGTGATGGGAGTGAGAACTCTCTAGGACTACCTTCACATGCCCTCCACACCATGTTGGGGTCTCAGGTTCATCACTGAGATACCAGGAGCAAGAGTGCAGCATATATAAGGCAGGCTTCTGCTCCCCCAATCCTTGAAGGGAGCTGTGTACAAAGAAAATAAAGACCAGTAAGCCAAGGTGAAGGGAACAGGTGGGTGGGGCTCCTCTGAGAGTCTGGAAAAGCCAGAGACTCAGCCCATTCCTTTCTTCCATTCTGTTCAGGACACACCCATCAGCAGGAGGCCTGGGAGAAGATACAGGGAGGAGGCAACACCCAACTTTCTCTCAGGGTGAGGTCCTGGTCCATTTTCAGTGAGTCTGCCTGAGCTGGGATAGCAATCTCCTCTAGGCCCGCCTGCTGTCACAGCTTCCATCGCCCTTTGCAGTAGACAGACCCAAGCCTTGGGCTTGTAGTCCCCTCAGTCAACACCATCTGGCTTCTGTTTGCTAACACTTTTATTTCGGTGATGTTTATATTTGTAAGTTTGTCTTCTATTTTTGGAAGATGCCACTGACTTCCTGTTTGGCAACACAGTTTCCTTTCAAATAAATATATTCAAACAAACAATTTATGTTATTTGGCAAAGAAAGGGTAAAAGGGGGGTTGAAGCAGTCAGCCTGCATTCAAATCCACACTTTGTCATTCCTCTAGGGCCTTTGAACAGGTTCCTGTCTCGGCTTTCCCCAAATCTCAGCTTCATGGATAGAATGAGGCCATCTTTTGCAGGGATACTGTGTTGAATTACAGCTGATGTTTGTCAGACATAGGACATAGCAGTTCGTAGAGGACTTGCCCAATATCCTGGAGCTTTGTGTTCCATCCCCAGCACCACATAAACTGAGTGTGGGATGCACGTCTATCATTCTGGAGTAAAGGCAGGGGAATCAGAAGTTCAAGGTCATCCGTGGCTACATAGTAACAACTTGGAGGCCAGCCTGGGCTACATAAAACCTTGTCCCAATAACAACAATAATAAGCTATGTTGGCAAAGTATCTGACACGTCGCCAATGCTTATTAAATGATAGTAGCCACTGGAACTCTCCCTTCTGGCAAAGCCTTTGGGTTTTCTGTTTGCAGATGACTGTGGAACAGACAGGCCTCAGCTCATAGTAGTGCCTGCTGTCCCCTGTGTGAAGGTTCTCTTGCTTGGGGAAGGAGTGTACATCTGCTTTGCCCCTGCAAGTCAGATATAAGACCAACTGCATCAGCTGGAGGCCCGTGGGAGTGACTCTTTGGATGTGGAGTCTCATGCACCCCAGGGACTCTCTTAGACCCTCTACAGAGCTCTGCAACCAGATTTTAAAATGATGCCCATGAACACTGAAACATAGCAAACTGGGTTAGGGTAGTAGGGGTGGTGGTGTTTGCCATGTGTAACCCTAGCTCTTGGAAGGTAGAAAGGCAGGAGGATTGAGAGTTTTAAGGGCAGCCTGGTCTATATAGCAAGATCTTGTCTCGAAAAATAATAAATAAACAAATAAAACAAATTAGGGGCTGGCAAGATGGCAGTCTTAGTTAGCTCAGCTGTCAGCTTGACACAAACCCAGAGACACCTGGGAAGAGGGACTAGCAATTGAACAGTTGCCTCCATCAGACTGGTCTGTAAGCATGTTGGTGGTATATTTTCTTGACCATCTCTGTGGGCAGTGCCATCCCTGGGCAGGTGGGCCTGGGCTATATAAGGTAGCCGAGCAATCCAGTAAGCAGGATGCCTCCACAGTCTCTACATCAGCTCCTGTCCCCAGGTTCCCACCCTGAACTCCTTCCTGTGTCCCTCAGTGATAAACTGTTCCTGAAGTGTCAGGAGAACTCAACCCTTTCCTCTTTAAGTTGTCTTTGGTCCTGATGTTTATCACAGCAACATGCTAAAGGCACTTGCCACTAAGTGTGAGGACCCGAATTCTATACCCAGCATCCTTATGGTTCTCTCTGATCACCATGTGTGCTATACACACATACACACACACACACACACACACACACACACACACACACACGTGAATAAATCAATAAACAAGTAAATGTAATAAAAATTTTGAAAACAGGGAGAAATAAGTGAACCAGCAAAATGGCTCAGTAGGTAAAAGCACTTGCCACCAAGCCTGATAATCCCTATAAGCAACATAAAGGAGAAAATCAACTCTACAAAGTTGTCTTCTTACCTCAACATAACCCCAGCCACACACACCCACAAGCACACACACACACAGGGAGAGAGAGAGAGAGAGAGAGAGAGAGAGAGAGAGAGAGAGAGAGAGAGAGAGAGAGAGCTTTAAAAGTATGGAAAAAAAAGAAAAAGGTAAAGAAAAAAAATGCAGTGCCCAATTGAGACTATACAACTGCATGTAAGTTCCCGTTTGCTGTTAGAGGCACAAGCCTTTTAATTTTGGTTTATATAAGGAACACAAATCTGTGAAATTAAAAGTCTAAAATAATGCTGTAATATGCTGGGCCCTGTGTCTGAGTGTCTTCAATTTTAAAACATACCCTTCAACACATAGGATGAGGCGAAGGCCCCTGGCTTACTTCCAGAGCCTCGTAAGAGCCTTCTGGGCTGTCCATCTGCTGTTTCAGATGAGAAACTGAGGCAAAAGAAAAAGATAGTTATGGGTCTTTTGGTCATTTTCAGGACCAATGAATTCCCAGGAGTTCGAAGGACTTTGGGAGTGATTTGTGTGAGGATGTGTCTATGTGTATTGGTTTGGGAAGGCTGCAGGGAGGAATTAGAGGAGGGTTTATTAGGGTGGAACCCAGGTTCCAGGGGAGAGTGAGATCATGGAATCCCATCCCTGGCCTTCTTTTTAATTTTTGAGTCGAGGTCTTTCAAGAGTTGGCTTTGAATTAATCGCATGGCTCACCTAGGCCTTGAACTTGGATCTTATACTTCAGACTTCTCAGTAGGTGGGATTTATAGGCTTGGCCATAGTTGGAGGAATCTTATCTTTTTCAAATGATTTATTTATCTTCATTTTATGTGTATTGGTGTGTCTGTGTGAGGGTGTCAGAAACCCTGGAACCAGACAGTTCTGAGCAGCAGCTGGGAAATGAACTTGGGTCCTCTGAGGTTAAGAGGTTAAGCTTGGGACGAGCGCTTAACCTCTGAGCCATCTCTGAGTCCGATTTGGTGGTCTTACCTCAGGGGAGGAACTCTAACCTCTCAGTTTCAGCCACACAGCCTCTCCAGGAACCAGGCACTGTGTAAATATTGCTTTTAGGCCTCAGAACAAGGTCCCACCATGCCTTCCGTTTCCATCAGAGGAAATTGAGGCAGGAGACATTAACAACCAGCTCACTAAGTTAGTAAGAGAAACAGAGAGGATGCTAGGAAGGAAATGGGAATCACGGGGTCCTAACCCTGCAGTCAAGAGAAGAAGGGAGAACAGAGATGAGGAGAGGAGCGATGTCTCCAGCGGGAGGCTTCCAGCTCCCTTGAACTTTGAGAGTGCGAGTGCAGCAGGACGGCGGCAGGGGCTGGGGGTCCCGGAC